ACACAAGTAATTTAAGGCATGCATTCAATAATATTGAGAACGGCAATTTCTTTCTCAGTTTTCTGCCAGAAATGTGTCTTTTATTCAAATGCAGTCGGTTTCAAGCGTAAAGGAACACAGAGCAAAACTAATGCAGTCCTTTCAAAACTGGGAATATTGAGTGCTATGTTACCATTACACTGCTAACGGTAATTATTATTCGGCAACTGAATTATCTATGTTGAAGTATTTAGAAAACTTATTTCTGACAAAAGAAGCTAAAAGATAACAATAAGTGAAGAGCTTACCGGAAACGAAGTGTTGACTACACAATCTGGAGTTAGATGTCGGCTGCCAGTGATCCCTTCTGATGGCAGCCAGCCATTTATTACGACGGTCTAAGACTTTGGGGATCGATACAAACTGTAGTCCGGGGTTCCTTTGGCGAATATTGTCACAGCCCACAGCACAACAAATCCCAGGCATATCCACAAACTTTATTATTCACGATGTGTCTTTCTCTGTTGCTTCCTCCGTGTTCTCTGTTGTTGTAATGACTTGCTGTGACCGGACACCAAAATGGCGGCGCTAGAATACAGTGACGTCACGTGGTAACCATGAATAACATCATCGATAACATAGCCCACAGTTATTCTTCTATGCTTATTGAACGGCAACAACTTCAATGTCGCAGTGCCACCTAGTGGACTGGTAAACTAACATGCAATATATATATATATGACCTTACAACAAATTACATTGCAACCGAGTGATGTAATATCACAATGTGCTCGAATACAAAACAGATAAGTCCTCTAAATGTTGGACATTACATTTCAATTTCACCCAAAGTGACTTACAATAAGATTCAAACACAAATATTCAAACTCACAACAGGAAGGTGCTTGATGGTCTGATTTGCATTTAGTAACCAAACTCAAGCCAACCATAGGATAATTGTGAACAAGGTTTTATTTTGAAAATCCTGTCCGGAAGTACTGCTCTTTATTATGTCTGGCTTGACGCTGGCCAGGCATTGTAGCTTTCCGTCCTGATGAAAATATCAAAGTGTGCACTACTGTCCTTGTATTCTATGACAGAGCAGGGTACCGGATCACCAGCGGAACACAGCGGGTAGAGAGTCCGGCCTGAGTGTCACTGTCCCCGGGCTTCAGAAGGCACAAGGTCCCCCCTCTGCCTGACGGATCCCCGGCTTGTGGAGCAGCTTTCTCCTTGGATGACCTACACGCAACCTCTCTCAGGAGCAGCAGACGTCGTTTCCTTACAGCTGAGCACCTGCTGGTTAGGAGGTGCAGCATTATTTAGACACAGTGGGCAACAAGCCAAAGCGAGGTTCGTCCAGGATTCAGACCGACTCTGGAGCACCTGACGTGGGGAACAAAATAAGACACGTTACGAAAACCTTCTCCTTAACGTGGCTGCGTCAGGAGGAGCGGACAGAGGACTGCGAGTTGCAGAGTTGATATTTCATGTGCGCACCTGATAAGTAAGAAGACATACAGGGTTTAAACACGGACACTGCAGGATATTTCGGCGTTCACATGATGTACACAATCACCAGAGGTCCCAGCAAACTTGTTACACAGCGGCGGACAGGTTAGTACTATGTTATCTAATCTAATGCATTATGCAATGTAACATCAGAATGCGAAGGGAAGTTTTGTAGGCAATGCCACTGTTGACATTGTTCTATGGACACTTTTTAACCCTGGTTTTGTATTTAAGGTCCAACACAACAAATCGAGAGCAAATGTTGCGACTTGAAGCTGAAGCCGACGTCTTGGCTCTCGTCAACGTAAGTAGCTGCTTTGAGTCTTGTTCCAGTGCTGTTGTGTTTACTAAGATTATTTATGCAGACTGTTGAGCTACATGGGGCAGGCGGCATGTGAGCATGTGTGCTGTCAGAGCGATCATGTAACACATGTGTACTTGGGTAACGTTTGTACATACATTATGGGATTTGACCTTCCCGGCAGTTTTCCATACTATATTCTGACACATGGTCATATGAGCATGTATATTACATATGGTGACATCTCATTTTACGAAAACATTTGAGATCAATTATAATATATGGAAAGTAATAGGCCTATATTTATATGTACATAGTATGTGCAATGCTGCAATGATTTGAAGTTACTGGGTCTCATGATTTGGATGTTATTAAAAATGAATGAGAATGTTCAATGAAAGAACAAGACTTTCACCCCAATTTTTTTTTAATGATTTCATAAAAATAATAATAATACAAAGTGGTGTCCTACTTTTACAGTGAAGTTATATTACCTGCTAAGTATGTGCAAATGATTATTTATTGATGGTCCCTGAGTGTGTTGATATTCAGCTAACCATCCTCTGACTGCAGACAGTCTTTGGAACTCAGTTAGAAGACCACGTTGTAAAATATTCAACCTGAAACTAACTTCACCACAGTGAACTTGAGAAGTGCAAATACGGTGGCAGACCTATTTGATTTGCACATTTATCACATAGCCTAAGGTATGTACACTTACAAAATAGTTGTTTTTTTTCACTTTCCCAAAACATTTTTGACAATAACTCTGGGAGTGTGTTCAAGGTCGGTTCAGCCAGCCCAGCTGTGGCTTTGTAAACAAGACTGTGCTCCCTTCATGTGCTGCTCAGAAATACCAACATGTTGTACACAAAATATTAGAAAAACCTCTCAGTGTGATATAATGTATATGCAAAGTGATTTTATAAAGCACTTAAGCAATAACATTGAATAGGCAGTTGATCAACAAGTATAGGCTTTTCTTTAGAGTTATATCTGCAGTTAATATGAAGCTTCAGAGGTTGAAATCCATTCCAGAGAAACTAAATGTGATCGGTAAATGATCTTGCGATTGCATATTAGAGTTGTTCATTGACAGTCTGAGATAAATAAAGTAACATTTGGAATTTGAAGCACTTTAAAAGTGAACCAATGTCTTTCTGTGTGTAAATCATATTCTCTGAAGTTCCTGCTGTTAAAGACAGAGAAAATGAAAAATATATTTCGGGTTATCAAATATATATTTCCAATATCAAGAAGTAACCTCCATGCTCTACTCCACCAAAAGCAAAATAGCCAAGGCTACAAGCATAACTAAATTACACAAAACAAATCATGACGTTTTTTGTAAACTAGCAACCTGCATTTTTGTTCCCATCACTGTGAGATGGCACTCTTTGTGTGTTTTCTTGTGATGCAGCCTGCCCCAATCATCAAGCTGACATTCTTTAATTATCTCCGTGTGATCTCTGCAGCTCTCCTCCCCCAAAGATTGTGTTCAATCGTCTGAATGGGAAGCGCTACCACGGTGCAGCCACACAGAAGAGCCCCTGCCCCGCAGAGGGATTCACTCCTGGACATGAAGAGAACGTCAGATTTGTGCATGAAGGTGAGGGTCTCAAGATCAATACATGATTGGAGGCGGGTAACAGAGCAAGGTCAGAGCTCCAGGGCCAATCCTGAAGCCGTTAGAGATGGGGAGATCCTTCCCTCAAGCTTACAAGGTCAGAGGTAGATAATCTGTTTTTTGTTTTAATTAATTCTTTACAACAACTTCCTGGTTGGGCAGCTGCAATGTTGTGAGGGAAAGATTGTTGGTGGCTGTGGGTTCACAATTCGAATCATTTATAAAAAAAGTAATACAAAAAATGTACTTCTTAAAGGTGGGGTAGGTAATTTTGGAGAAACCAGCTCGAGTGCGCTAGAATTTGAAAATACACAACCGGAAAAAATCTGCCACTTCCTTATAGAGCCCCTCCTCCAACACACACAAACGCGCACATGACCAATGAGGGCACGAGATAAGTTTGTGCAGATGGAAGGCTGACAGGCAGGTAGGCCATCCAGTTATTTTAGCCGGGCCGGCTAAAATGATTGGTCGTGCTTTTTACAGTACTACGGCTTCCACAGATGACATTTTTTAATGGACCTTTTGTCAAAGCACTTAAAGATATTCATTGCTATCGGGATGTTAAGAGCATTCCATGGAATATAACAAAAAATCTATCTCGAGCCGGTTTCTCAAACTTACCTACCCCACCTTTA